TATCCTTTTCCAAATCATTCTCTTGGCCCGTCATTTGTAGTTCCATATTCTGTATTTCTCTATCTTATCAGATAAATTTGTTTCACATCTGTGATTCCTTCATTAACATCTGTTAGGCATAGTCTATCCATAGAAGCAGACATAATTATTGACACTGTTCATATTGTAGTTACAAACTTCTGGCTCCATTCTTCAAAAATCTCTTAATATTTCCGATGTTATGACATTTTGTATCATTCTATCAGTCCCAGAATTAACTGACATCAAGCTTTGTATTTTTTTAAAATTCTACTTAAAATCTTTAGTCCTCTCTAGTGTCCAGTTCCTAAAATCAACATTTATGTTTTGACTTGTAATTGCCAGGATAACCAAAATAAGTCTGTTTTGCTCAAGAAGTTGTTTATTTTTTATAGTTAATTCCAAAATCTTATAGTAGAAATCAATACTCCAAATTTATCTGGACCCTTAATCTGTTTATAACTTTCTTAGATCAAAATCTTATTTAGCTTTTTAAGAAGTTGTTTATTTTTTATAGTTAATTCCAAAATCTTATAGTAGAAATCAATACTCCAAATTTATCTGGACCCTTAATCTGTTTATAACTTTCTTAGATCAAAATCTTATTTAGCTTTTTGCTGTATATTTCAAATTCTTTAAGTTCTTAAGCTTGTAATTAATTTTTCTTTTGTTCAGAGTTGAAGATAAACTCACACAATGAAGACTTTTCAAACCTGTCGTTCTGAAGGTCTCTAATAGCTGTAGAATAGTTAATAGGCGGTTTCTGCGGCTGGGCATAGTTTTTGAAGCTGTATTTCATTGGAAGCTCATGAGGAAGAGCATGAAGTTTTCATCATGCTACTTAATTCCAGCATTGTCTCAAGGTTCTGACTGAGTAATTTACTGTCTGGTAATTTACTTAACCCAACACATGCAAGAGCATTTCTTGGTGTGACTTTAATAGCCTCTGTATGTGTTCTACCCTTAAGGGATGGATCCTGGCACAGATCTACGTGGAGCAGGATTGCTAGGATTGATGCAAACACTTTATTTTGTGATGGATTCACGGATATTACCTGTAGCTCGAGAAATTTTCAAGCTGTCCCATCATGAGGTTCAGGTACGTTTCCTCATTTCCTCTGCACTGTTTTCAGATTTTTCTTTTAAAGAAAGGTTGTTGCATAAGGCTGAAATAATATCACCAACTCTTGGATTTTATTGTATTTAATATTTGTATTTAATATTTGCATTATTTATGTTTTTATTGATTTTAAATTGTTTTGTTGTGAACCGCCCAGAGTCCCTCCTTGTGGGGGAGTTGGGCGGTGATATAAATTTGATATACAAATAAATAAAAATAAAATACATACTGAAAACAAATTTTGTTGTGAACCGCCCAGAGTCCCTCCTTGTGGGGGAGTTGGGCGGTGATATAAATTTGATATACAAATAAATAAAAATAAAATACATACTGAAAACAAAACTTTTCAGGCTGATCATTCAAAACAGTGTTTTTCAAACTTGGCAACTTTAAGAGGCATGGACTTCAACTCCCAGAATTCCCCAGCCAGCATGCTGGCTGGGGAATTCTGGGAGTT